AGCATTTGAAGAGGTTGGACTTGCTTCGGGCCTAAAATCTGATCTTGAGAATCTCGGAAGCACACTGACTACGATTCAAGCTGTCCTTCACGATGCAGAGGAAAAACAATGGAAGAGTGATGCTGTGAAGAATTGGCTCAAGAAGCTCAAGGATGCAGCTTATGATGCAGAGGATGTGCTTGATGAGTTCGAAATTGAAGTTCAAAGGCGCAGACAGCAAGACGATCTTAAAAGCCAAGTAAGGTCTTTCTTCTCTAAGAATCAGAATCCAATCTTCTTTCGAGTAAAAATGGCACGTAGATTGAAGAATGTAAGAGAAAAATTAGAAGCCATTGTTAAGGAGAGAAACTTCCACCTAACAGTGGGAGCTGGGGACATCGAAGCAAATAGTTTTGATTGGCGTCAGACCTGGTCTCTGGTGAATGAATCAGAAATTTATGGAAGAAAGCAGGAGAAAGAAGAGCTAATCAATTCACTGGTTAACAGTTCAGGTGATCTCTCTGTTTATGCTATATGTGGGATGGGGGGCCTTGGCAAAACAACACTTGCTCAATTGATCTACAACGATGAAAGGGTGAAAGACCGTTTTGATTTGACAATTTGGGTATGTGTCTCTAATGATTCTGCTTTAAGTATATTGGTAAGAGCCATGATAGAGTCTATTGAAAAGAGCACTTGTGATGTTAAACGTTTGGAAGCCTTGCAGCAACGTCTCCATGAAAAGTTAAATGGAAAGAAGTTTCTGCTTGTATTGGATGATGTGTGGGATGACAATTTTAGTAGTCTGAAGGACTTGCTAAGGTGTGGAGCTAAAGGTAGTGCTGTTTTGATAACTACCCGTATTGAGATGGTTGCTCTTCGTCTGGAACCAATTTCACTTCAGCGCATGGAAAGGTTATCCGATGATGATTCTTGGCTTTTGTTCAAGCGATTTGCATTTGGGATGAAAAGGAGAGAAGATTATGTAGACTTGGAGGCAATTGGGAGAGCAATAGTTAACAAGTGCGGTGGGGTTCCTTTAGCTATAAAGGCACTTGGAAAGCTGATGTGCCTGAAGAACACAGAAAGGGAGTGGTTATCTATCAAAGAGAGTGAGGTTTGGGATTTACAAGTAGAGGAGGAAGAGATATTGCCTGCTTTGAGGTTAAGTTATACTCATCTTCCACCACATTTGAAGCAATGCTTTGCATTTTGCTCTATATTTCCCAAAGATCACGTCATCAAGAAGGACTGGCTGATAGCTGTGTGGATGGCAAATGGTTTCATTTCTTACAAAGGGCAAATGGATTTGCATGACAGGGGCCAGGAGATTTTTACTGAGTTAGTTGGCAGATCATTTTTTCAAGAGGTTGAAGAGGATCCAGTTGGCAACATAACATGTAAGATGCATGATCTTATGCATGATCTTGCACAATCAATTATGATACATGAATGTTGTTCGGTCGAGAGCAATAGCAAGGTGGGCATTTCCAAAACAGTTCGTCATGTGGGTTTTTGGAATGGATATGGTGCTTGTTCTTCTGATCATAAATGTCTCGATGTCCAATCATTGCGATCATTTTTTCTGCCTTCTTATTATGGTAGCAATGGAAGGGGGAGTGAAATTCTTGACTTGTGCCTCTCTAAACAAAAGCATCTAAGAGTCTTGGATATAAGTGGTTTTGATGATGTTAAGAAAATGTTCCAGTCCGTTTGTAGGTTGAAACAGCTAAGGTATCTTGATGTCTCCTTCTCTTCCATCAAGACACTACCTGAATCAATCACCTCCCTCCAAAACTTGCAAACTCTGAATTTGAGAAACTGCCAGGAGCTGCTGAAGTTACCGAAAGGTATGAAGCACATGAAAGATCTCATGTATCTTGACCTCAGAGGTTGTGATGCACTTCGTTGCATGGCTGCTGGAATGGGACAATTGACTTGCCTGCGAAAGCTTAGCTTGTTCATCGTGGGTGAAGAAAATGGTCATCGTATACAGGAGCTGGGGAGGTTGAATTATCTAGGCGACGAACTGAGGATAAGCAATATTGGTAATGTTAAAGATTTAACAGATGCCAAGAGTGCCAATTTGGTGCAGAAGGCAAATCTTCAATCACTGAGTTTGTCTTGGTATGGGAATGGAGAATACTATGGTAATGGCAGTGTTGTCACGGAAAACATTAAAGGGGTCCTCGATGGCCTTCAACCCCATCCAAATCTGAAGAAGCTGCGAATAATTGGATATGGAGGTTCAGAATTTCCAAATTGGATGATGAACTTCAACTTGCTGGTACCAAATCTAGTGGAAATTTCTTTAGAAGGTTGTGACAATTGCGAACAACTTCCACCGTTCGGGAAACTACAGTTCCTTAAGCGTCTTTACTTAGGGAAAATGCATGGTGTGAAGTGTATTGGGAGTGATTTGTATGGCGATGGGGAAAATCGATTCCCAGCACTGGAGAGACTGACTCTTCGTTCAATGAAGAACGTAAAGGTATGGGCAACAGTTACTGAAATGGAGAGTTTTCCTGTCCTTGACGAATTGAACGTGGAGGATTGCCCTATGTTGGATGAAATGCCAATTATACCCTCCCTCAAAAAATTAGTCCTTCAAAATGTCAATGTTACGTTGTTGACGAATGTCAAATATTCCCACTGGCTTACCTCCCTTGACCTTAAACTCTTTCCCAATTTAAAGCTTCTACCCGATGGGTTGTTGCAAAACCATACACTCCTTCAGCACTTAACAATTTATTCTCTTCCAAATCTCCAGTCATTGTCAAATCAGATATTAAATAACCTATCTTCTCTTAAAACCTTAGAAATTATGTTTTCTCATGAACTTGAAAGCTTGCCGGAAGAAGGTCTCCAGAATCTCAATTCTTTGGAGACATTGAATATATGGAAATGCCATCGATTAAATTCTCTGCCAACCAATGGATTGCGTGGCTTATCTTCTCTTCGTAACTTACTTGTTTTCGATTGTGCTAAATTTGCCTCTCTATCTGAGGGAGTTCGCTATCTGACGGCACTGGAGGATTTGCATCTTTCTAAATGTCCAGAGTTGAGTACACTGCCAGAGAGTATCCAACACCTCGCTTCCGTTTCACGCATGGGCATTGCGTATTGCCCTAATTTGATGTCTTTGCCGGACGGGATACAGAGTCTCAATACACTGAAACAGTTGTACATTGGATCATGTCCAGATCTGGAAAAGAGGTGTGTGAGGGAAAGAGGAGAGGACTGGCCTAAGATAGCTCACATCCCTAACATCCAAATCAAGCGGGAAGTAATCCAAGGATCCTGGATATTTGAATATTAGAGTGATTGGCTTTTTGGAATATGATTCGGGATGTCATTTCCTCGGTAATTTTCTTTTTTATATTTTTTTTCTCAGTGAAATTATTACTTGGAAAGTTCATGATGTTTCCAGATAAAGCTGTCTGATTTGTTTCTGTTTTTTGTTTTGGTGCAGATGAATAGCTTCTTACTTCCGGTGCAAATCCATTGCTTCAAGGATCTTCTGGTATGATTTGCAGCAATAACTCGTCATCCATCTCCATCTGGTCCCCTGAATGTTCCTGTTAGCTAGTGTTGGAGCACAGGTTTTTATCTCTAACCTAGCAACTGCAATTAAGTAAAAAGAAAGTTATTCAGCTGAAAAAAGTAAAAATAAAAAAATCAATTCGAACTTTGAAAATTGTTTTGCTTGTCATTTTCTGATCTTCTTGTATATTTCAGGTATTTCAGGCAGTTGCATGGGGGGATCTCTTCAGATAAATGCTTGATGATGATTCAGATGAAGATGGAAAGGACAGTTTGCACAAAGTTGGGGATTATATATAGGGATGGCATTAGATGATTTCTTATTTTCAATTAGTAAGTGGTTGTGTTAAATGGGTAATGTAATTTATTTTGGTTATTCTCTGGAGTAAGAACATCTGTTTGATTATGTAACAACAACAGCACTTCATCTTCTCAATATGAATGCTCAAACGGGTTCTCATTCCATGCTTCATCAGCATGATTGATTTTTTTATTTTCCTTATGGTAAAATTATAGAAGAAGAAGAAGGAAAAAGAAAAAGGTAAATAAAAATGGGATATGTATATGTATCAAAATAGTTCCCATCTTAACTTGTCTACCTTTACTAGTTAATTTATCCAAGATAGCCTAATCAAAATCCCTATGGCTTTTATTCGAAACTTAATTAGGTTAAAATCGAAAAACAAATATATCATGTTAAATAAAAGTCAAAACCGATTCTTGCATTAAAAAAGATAATATTACCTTTAAATATTTAATGGCTTTTATTTCGATCAAAATATTTGGTTAAGGAAGTATATATATATATATATTTTTGAAGAGTTCAAAATATTTAATACCCTATTAATTTTTTTATTATATATATATATATATATATATATATAGCTCTCCCCTTGCGGGCTTGACTATATATATATATATATTTGAAGAAAAATGACGATTGAAATTAATTAATGACCAGAGTAATCAATCTAGTTGTCTACGTCGACCCCACAATTAAGGGGAGAGCGAATAAGAAATCACCACTTAATTAATCAAGAAGAACTAATAAACCCTAAACATATTGGTTTGCATGATATGTATAAATGATACATTTGTTATGGTTTGAGTAATTAATTGTCATAATCCAAAATTTCATTATACTTATTTTATTGTTATTTAATTCTTATGTTATTTGTTTTATTTCATTTTTATTTGAATTATTTTTTAAAAAAGTAAAAATAAAGATACGATAAAAAAAATATATAAAAAATACATAATCTCTTCAAAATCATTCGAAAATCTGTCTAAATCTTTTACTAATCTTTTTTGTTTTTTGAATTTGAATTTAATATTGATCAATTATCTTGTTTTAGCTAATCAAATCTTAAATTTGAGATTTGACAGTTGAAATTTGAGTTTGAATAGGTTTATTTTGAGATAAATTTCAGCAGGTTTTGGTCTACAAAAACTTTTGGATTTTTGAGGGCACAAGCACCCTACTTCAGGTCCTTCCCCACTTTCGGATAGAAAAACACAACCAAGATAGCAGCCCAAACAGCTCCCCTACTGCCCCTCACAAACTCCTCACAATAGCCCCTCTCCTTTGTTCTTACCAAGTTCCTGCCAAGTCCTCCCTCGCGCGTGAACAGCTCCTGCAAATTTCTTCTCGCGCGCGCCAAGCTCCTGCAAGTTCCTCCTCGCGTGCGACCCTGCTTCAACCCACAAGCACCCGCAGCGCACGTAGCACAAGCTTCCAGCTGCACCACACGCTGCCTCAAGCCCGTCAACAGGCCACAGCCTAGCACGCACACCCAGCGCGCACTTGCCTAGCATGCCTGCCAACGGGCAACTCCCTAGCGTGCATACCTAGAGCGCACGCCCAGCTGCACCTGACGCTCGCAGCAGCAACCCTTCGTTCAACCTCACAGGCAGCCGCCACACTCAACTGCACCTCACACCTGCCAGTAGCAGCCCGTATGCCCAGCTCGCCTGCTCCTCTTCAATCACTGGAAAAAAAAAAAAGGGGAAACGGGAGAGGCAGAGAAAAAGGGAGAAGTCCAGAAGGTATAAGGTTTTGATTTTGTTAATTTGGGTGACCAAGTCAGCCCAGCCCGCATGGTACAAGCTTGGGCTGGTTTCAAACCAGCCTAAGCCCCTAAAAAAAGAAGAGGGGACTGACATGTCCAGCGGGCCAGTCCAACAGCCTTGGTCTACTGGGCCGAGTTTTATTTTATGCATCCTATTTTATTTTATGTTTAATTCAAATTTTATGTTTAAGTTTCCTTTAATTTATTTAATTAATACAATTGTTAATTTTTATTTCAATAATTAGAATAGGGGATTAATGGGTGGATTAATTATCAAGTCTCCTAATTTTAGGGACGGATGACTTTTTTCCACTAACAAAAAAATAAATAATAAATAAATAATAAGATTTTCAACGAAGTCTCCTATCTAATAGGAACTATCGTTTGACCAAAAAATAATAAATGATAAAAATTCTTGACAAAGTCTCATATCCGATGACGATTGTCGTTACCGGATATTATTATTTAATCAAGATATTCTTTGATATATCGGTTGTATCGAGGCTTAAAGTAGATCCGATATTTGAATCGACGTGTCGTTCGACGAAGGGGACCGATGATCGTTTCAATACGATGTCACGTCCAAAACTAAAAAACTTAATTCAACTTTGAAATTGAGGTTTAAAGCAAAATAACTTGGCACAAATAAAAATACTTTATGAGATAAATTTAAGACTAAACTAGACACGGTATCTTTCTTCGGAAGAGGCACTTTTTGGTGATTAAATATCTCTCCAAAAGTGTAATCAACTTCTTACTATAGAATTTTTGAACCAATGCTATTTTAGGTTTTTAATTCATTAATACTAGGTGGTGACTCCGAACTTATAAATAACTCTATAAATAAAATCTAACTTTATAAATTTTTGAATTTGTTAGTAGTTTTGTCCTACGTTGGATAGCAACATTACTGATGATAAGTTGTAATTTAAAATGTTATAGCCTATTACACATACTACAATTTAACTGACCTTGTTTTCTCTTGCTTGCCATTTAATTATGATCGCAGTGTTCTTTGTTTTTATGACTTTATAAAGATTTATAAATGATTTTCCGGCTCTATGGTTTGAATATTAAATTATGGTAAGGTGTAATTCATATTATTTATAATTCAACAAATCCTCTGTCATGCAATTGGGCTTTTCGGGGATCTTTTGAGGGGTCTCAGTTTCACCGCAAATTTCTTATTCGTGTGGCTATTTTGTCGGTGAAATTATTACATGGCAAGTTCATGACCTGAGGGTACTTGCAATATTACTTAATGATGTTCTACTTTTAATGGTTTATGTTAGTGTTAACTCTGCTATGGTTTGCACATTCAATGATGATAACTTGTTGTAAGTCAGATTTGAATCGATGATACACACTACAATTGAAGAGGATTTGGCCGATTAATTTTTGTTTTCGTGCAGATGAATAGCCTCTTATTCTGGTGCAAATTCATTTCTTCAAGGATCTTCTGGTATGATTTGCTTCAATAACTCGTCATCCATCTCCATCTGGTACCCCTATGTTCCTGTTAGTTATCTTTCCAGTAATTCATCATTTATTGATTTATTGTTGTGTTTTTGCATCAAATGAATCTTTTTAGTGTATTGAATAGGTCACAGCAGTGGATAAAATGTTCCAAAAATATCTCTCTTGACTGGTTGATGAGCCGTAGAATGCAATGCTATGGAATTCTGTCAGGCATGCATAAACTTGCAGCAGTCTCAGTTGTCTTTTCATGAGCCTCATTCTACATCTGATTGGGCATCTGCTTGCTACCTGATGGAAAAATGTGTTGGCATGAATAATTACTGAAGTATCTTGCTGCCAAGGCTAAGATTTCAGGGCATGGGCATCGTTGCTGGACCATATTAGTAAGCTTTCCTTTACCATGATTGGTATGCCAAGCTATGTGAATATCCACTTTGAAGCTGCTTATGGTCAAGAAACTCTATGATGAGTCCTCATGAGTTTCAGTTCAGCTAGTGCTGGAACACAGGTTTGTGTCTATAACCAAACAACTGCAAATAAGTAAGAAGAAGGTTCTTCAGCTAAAAATATATTCATTTCGAACATTGAAAATTGTTTTGTTTGTCATTTTATGATCTTGTTTATTTTAGGTATTTTTCATCTGCACCAACTCTTACAGAACTAGCGTAGCTGCATGGGTGAGATCTCTTCAGTTTTTTCATCTCAACAGGCAGGAAAGTCCAATTGTGCTGTCCGTGGCAGGAACTGAAGAGATAAATGCTTAGATGATGATTCAGATGAAGATGGAAAGGACAGTTTGCACAAAGTTGAGGATTATATATAGGGATGGCATTATATGATTTTTTATTTTCAATTAGTAAGTGGTTGTGTTTGGATGCAGAAAATCCAACTACTGTTAAATGGGTAACGTAATTTATTTTGGTTATTCTCTGGAGTAAGAACATCTGTCTGATTATGTAACAACAGCAGCAGTTCATCTTCTCAATATGAATACTCACACAGGTTCTCATTCCATGCTTCCTTTTTCTGGCTAATTTGCATAGATTGAACTTTCAAACATCATCTTCAGCATGATTGATTTGTTGATTTTCCTTATGGGAGAAGCATGATTATAGAAAGGGTAAAATTATTCCTTAAGATGATCGCAAACAGGACTAACATAGAAAAAAAGGTATGGGGAGGAAAAAGGTTTGAACAGGTTCAGCCCAGAAAGGGATTGAATTTGAGCTAGAGAGGTAAAATCTGTTAATTGGGCCCGGTTTGAAACATCAAGAATTCAACCAGTAAAGGGCCTTTCTCCAAAACTCTTATCTTTGGGCCTGGCTTTGAAATCATTTCCTAAATTGATTTTCTTGGATATACTGTATATTTTTATGCACTTCTTTAAAACAGACTGAAGGAAGTTTATGTGAATCTTAACAGAACTATATAGTGACTATTTACTAAAAAAAAAAAAAAAATCTCTTATTCTTTGGGTTTTTTAATTACTGTTCATAAAATTTAGTTTTATAATTAATAAAAAGTTTATCAAATAATTTGTTTTGATATTAGAATTAAAATATTGTATTTATGTTATGATCTCGAGCACAATCATTTTAAAAACAGAATAAATGATTATAAAAAATATTAAGTAATCTCACTCACAATATCATATAATATGGATTAAAAGCTTTCATATATCCTTTTACTCTTGATTTGATATTAGTTTCCCTCTTCTAGTTTTGTTTGTTTTAACGTCTTTTTGTTCCCCTTTAATTGGGGACTAAATTATAAATTAGTTCTTGTTTTGAGAAACAAACTAATTAATCTCTCATATTTTAATAACAAATTATTTAGTCTTCATGTTTTGAAATCTATTTGTAATTTATTCATTTTGCTATTTTTTAACTTATTTTGATTTTTGGTTTTAAGAGATAGAAAAAGAAAAAGAAATATGAAAAAAATATGGGATGATAAGATATTTTATAGAATAAAAATAATATTAAATTAAACATGCTCAACACTAAATAAAGGATTAAATAATAGTTTTTGAAACAAAAATAGCTTAAGTAATTTGTTTCTTTAAACTAGAGGAACTAATTTATAATTTACTCATTAATTGAGTCTTTTTTTTTATTATTTTTTTTACTAGAAACCACGTTTGTCAATCATCCTCCTCCTGTAACCTACATAATAATATCAACGTACTAGATACGCTACTATGTATCTGATTCGCTTTCGATCAAAACAAGATAAAAGTTAGACGATTTTGTAAGTAGAAAAAGCATTAAAATAAATAAAAGTAGAAGAGAAAAATTAATACAAAATAAAAAATAAAAGGTCGTATAAAAGCTTTAAACCATATAATAAACTTCATATATCATGGCATAACACTAAGTTTATCTCTTCAAGTCACTCACAAAACAAATTATTCATAATGAAATTAAAGGACCTAAAATTTTAATTTTTGGAATTGATTATGAAATTTTGATTCTTATTCAGGACTACTAGTAATCGTAATTATGGTTAAATTAAATTTATTTTTCATAACTGAATTAAGTAAATAGAAACAACACTTTCTTTTTTTTTTTTTCAACAAGTGAAATAACAATAACCAAAATATACTTGACCAAACCAATGAGTAATTCAAGAGTTAAGTAAAAATGAGTAAAATTCAGTTTAATTGAAAAATCAAATCGAATCGAATTGAAAAATCAAATTTAGTTTGGTTTTGGCAGTAAAATTCAATATTTCTGTTTGCATTTCTGTCATACAATGCAAATCACAGCTTTCTTTTTGGATTTGATACCATATCTATTTTGCTGCTACCATTTATTTCTTTTTGGATTTTTGACAAGCCATGTAATGCTTCGGGATTGAACTTCATTGTCCTGGTGCCAAGAACTTCAGTCTCTTCCTGGCCTAACAAAAGGAAGAAAAGGACAGATTCAGGCCTCCTCTTAAAAATTTGAAGCTGACAATTTGGACAACGAATTTATTCGCCATCCATCCTAGTCAAATTTGAAGGGTCTGTTCCTGTTTTTGCATCAGTTATATACAGTAAAACCTTCACGCTCTTTGACCTAAATTTACACTATATATTAAGGTGTTGTTTAATAATCAAAAATAAAGTAGTGAGAATGAGAATGAAAGTTTTATTCCCACATTATAGTTGTTTGGTTAAAAGGAATGAAGTAGGAATGAGAATGAGGAGTGGGAATGGGATTGAAAATTTACACAACTTCATTCCCACATAAAATGTGGGAATAAAAAACAAGGAATAGGAATGAATTTTTTTTCAAAATAATAATATATTTTATTTATTTATTATCTATTAACTACTTTTACCACCATCACCACCCTCACAACTATCATCATCACCACCACCATTACAACCACCACCACCACCGCCATTACGACCACCACTACCATCACCGCAACCACCGCAATCACCATCATAACTACCACCACCACCATCAACACCACAACCACTACTAACATCATCATAACCATTATAACTACCGTAATCATTACCGCTACCACCACCACCACCAATAGAATCACTACAATCACTACCATCACCTTTATTATTTTTATAACTATTATAGTTTAATAAAATTATTTTTTAATCATTATTTATATTTGTATATAAAATCGGATATTAAAAAATTTAAATTGCATTTCGATTCCTTATTAGTATTCCAAACACGGTATTGAAATACAAATACCATTCTGATTCCTTAATTTTCATTTTGATTCCCGCATTCCTATTCCCATCACTTTATTTCGATTATCAAACGAGCACCTAAGTAAAATAAGAAATAATTTAGGTGCGAGATAAGATCCTTCAATGCGGGTAACTTATTTTTAGATTATTTTTTCAATGACATGATTAGGTCATAAAAATATTAGCCAAGTTTAGAGTTTTTTTGATACTTTTAAGTGTTTGTGTTAGTGGCTGTTGAATTGGAAATAAATCACACTGATTTGGAGATTCAAGTAATTTTCGTTGAAACTGCTGCTGGACTTGGGCTGCTGTCAGATGAGAAGGCTGGGCTGCTGCGAGGTGAGGAGACTGGACAGAGTGGGCTGCTGCCATGGACTGTGCTGCTGCTACGGATTGGGCTTCCAACAGCTGTTATTGGCCCAAGCATGCAGCAGGCGTATGTTTTGCGGGCAAAGATGGATGGGCAGAGACTGGGCCTAGTACGCGGCAGGGGCTGAATGAGCGGACAAAGATGAATGGGCCAAAACAGAATGCTGCACGGGGCCCATTGTGGATTGAGAAGTACCAAACATTCTCCCTGCCTCTGTTATGTGATGCCACCGTAAAATTGACTGGTGCTACATCTATATTGCCTGTTGTGAACAGTGACGTCTGCCGTGTGCGGTGATGCTGCTTTCCTCTGTCCGTGACTTTCTCTGGCTAAGTGGATAACCATTAAGTGCATAACATGTCAGCGTGTGTGATTTGTTCTATCGTTACATGAAATATATATTTGAAAAACTTAAATGATCTACTAATGATCCGATAT